CACAAAGACCACCGTGGGGAGGAGAAATTGAATAAGCATGGCTACACAGACCACAAAGACCATCGTGTTGAGGAGAGATTGAATAAACATGGTTACACAGACGACAAAGACCACCGTGGGGAGGAGAGATGGAATAAGCATGGCTACACAGACCACAAAGACCATCGTGTGGAGGACAGATTGAATAAACATGGTTACACAGACGACAAAGACCACCGTGGGGAGGAGAGATTGAATAAGCATGGCTACACAGACGACAAAGACCACCGTGGGGAGGAGAGATTGAATAAGCATGGCTACACAGACGACAGAGACCATCGTGTGAAGGAGAGATTGAATAAACATGGTTACACAGACCACAAAGACCATCGTTTGGAGGACAGATTGAATAAACATGGTTACACAGACGACAAAAACCATCGTGTGGAGGAGAGATTGAATACAGGGTAACACAGACCACAAAGACCATCGTGTGGAGGAGAGATTGAATACAGAGTAAGACAGACCACAAAGACCAATGTGTGGAGGAGAGATTTAAAACATGGTAACACAGACGACAAAGACCATCGTGTGGAGGAGAGATTGAATACAGAGTAAGACAGACCACAAAGACCATCGTGTGGAGGAGAGATTGAAAAACACAAGACGAAAACAATTATATTGTGGAGAGATTGAATACAGGGTAACACAAACGAAAAAAATATCATATTTGGAAGAGATTGAATAAAGGGTAATACAAGACGAAAAAGAGATTGAATATAGGGTAACACAAACGAAAATGATCATCTGGTGGAGAGATTGAATACAGGGTAACACAAACAAAAAAAGCTCGTCATGGGTAAAGATTGAATTCATAGTAAGACAGACGAGAGAGATCAACGTGTGCAGAGAATGAGTTTCACCAGGTAATACCGACAGAAAAGACAATGGAGTTGACAGATGAAACAGATGTGAACATTCATAGTGTACGGAGATTGTACGAGGAAACAACACCGTTTGTAAAATACAAACAAACGAAGTCCAGAAAGACCCTTATAATGTGATACGATATATAAACCATCGTGTAGAGAAATGAAATTCATGGCCAAAAAAATGAAAACAACAATACAAGGTAATACAACTTAAAAGACCAGGATGTGGACTAAAACATTTTGTAAGGAGACGAAATACACGGTAAAACATCCTGCAGTGATTTAATACAAAAAACATGGACGCCGTGGAATACATTTTCGGCACTACTTAAGCACCACCGCAGCTTCCAAACTGCCATGTGTTTGGAATCGAATGTACACATACGAAACACATGTTTCTTTACGAATATAATTAGACAACGTAAAGCAATAGCTGTCTACTAGACAAACTTCAGAAGTGCGAGTAGTAAAGTAATAATATAAGTAGTATTGTAGCAATGTAAGCACTATCAGTGTATACTAGTAGTGTTGTAGCTATGTAAGCAATCTCAGTGTATACTAGTAGTGTTGTAGCAATGTAAGCAATATCAGTGTATTCTAGTAGTGTTGTAGCAATGTAAGCAATATCAGTGTATAGTAGTAGTGTTGTAGCAATGTAAGCAATATCAGTGTATTCTAGTAGTGTTGTAGCAATGTAAACAATATCAGTGTATACTAGTAGTGTTGTAGCAATGTAAGCACTAACAGTGTATACAAGTAGTGTTGTAGCAATGTAAGCAATATCAGTGTATACTAGTAGTGTTGTAGCAATGTAAGCAATATCAGTGTATACTAGTAGTGTTGTAGCAATGTAAGCAATATCAGTGTATACTAGTAGTGTTGTAGCAATGTAAGCAATATCAGTGTATACTAGTAGTGTTGTAGCAATGTAAGCAATATCAGTGTATACTAGTAGTGTTGTAGCAATGTAAGCAATATCAGTGTATACTAGTAGTGTTGTAGCAATGTAAGCAATATCAGTGTATACTAGTAGTGTTGTAGCAATGTAAGCAATATCAGTGTATACTAGTAGTGTTGTAGCAATGTAAGCAATATCAGTGTATACTAGTAGTGTTGTAGCAATGTAAGCAATATCAGTGTATACTAGTAGTGTTGTAGCAATGTAAGCAATATCAGTGTATACTAGTAGTGTTGTAGCAATGTAAGCAATATCAGTGTATACTAGTAGTGTTGTAGCAATGTAAGCAATATCAGTGTATACTAGTAGTGTTGTAGCAATGTAAGCAATATCAGTGTATACTAGTAGTGTTGTAGCAATGTAAGCAATATCAGTGTATACTAGTAGTGTTGTAGCAATGTAAGCAATATCAGTGTATACTAGTAGTGTTGTAGCAATATAAGCAATATCAGTGTATACTAGTAGTGTTGTAGCAATGTAAGCACTAATAGTGTATACTAGTAGTGTTGTAGCAATGTAAGCAATATCAGTGTATACTAGTAGTGATGAAGCAATGTAAGCAATATCAGTGTATACTATTAGTGTTGTAGCAATGTAAACAATATCAGTGTATACTAGTAGTGTTGTAGCAATGTAAGCACTAACAGTGTGTACTAGTAGTGTTGTAGCAATGTAAGCACTAACAGTGTATACTAGTAGTGTTGTAGCAATGTAAGCAATATCAGTGTATACAAGTAGTGTTGTAGCAATGTAAGCAACACCAGTGTATACTAGTAGTGTTGTAGCAATGTAAGCAATATCAGTGTATACTAGTAGTGCTGTAGAAATGTAAGCAATATCAGTGTATACTAGTAGTGTTGTAGCAATGTAAGCATTATCAGTGTATACTAGTAGTGCTGATAACATAAAAGGGATATCACTTTCATAATAACAGTGACAGGAATACCGTACTATACATCTTTTTGTACTTCTACACAACATATTGTCTGCTAGAAAGCTATATTTTTAATTGAACTACATTGTAACTATATTAATATACTGCGACTATACTACTAACACTGTAACTGTATAATTATACTGATACCGTACTACTTTTATTGTAACTATATAAATATACTACGACTATACTACTTACACTGTCACTGTATAATTATACTGATACCGTACTACTTTTACTGTAACTATATAAATATACTACGACTATACTACTTACACAGTAACTGTATAATTATACTGATACCGTACTACTTTTATTGTAACTATATAAATATACTACGACTATACTACTAACACTGTAACTATAAAAAAAATATATACCATACTTCATACACTGTAACTATATATATAATTATACAATACTCAGTACTACTTACATTGTAACTATATACTTAAACCAATACCATCCTTCTTATACTGTAACTATAAATACATACTTATTAAATAATCTGTACTACTTACATTATAACTATATAACTATACCGAAACCATACTTATTACACTGTACCTATATAATAATAATACAAAAACCATACTCCTTATACTGTAACTATATAAGTATACCAATACCAAACTACTTACACTGTAACTATATAATCATACCAATACCAAACTTCTTACACTGTACCTATATAATAATACAAAAACCATACTCCTTATACTGTAACTATATAAGTATACCAATACCAAACTACTGACACTGTAACTACATAAGTATACCAATACCAAACTAGTTACACTGTAACTATATAATTATACCAATACCAAACTACTTACACTGTAACTATATAATTATACCTATACCATACTTCATACACTGTAGCTATATATTAATGATATTACTATACTACTTATACTGTAACTATATAATTATACCGTACCATACGATTATACTGTAACTATATAATTATTCCAATCCCATACTACTTACACTGTAACTATACAAGTATACCTATAACAAACTACTTACAGTATAACTATATAAATTAGACCTATACCATACTACTTACATTGTAACTATATAACTATACCTATACCATGTTACTGACACTACCACAATATACTACTAACATTGCTACAATGCTACTTACGACTACTACTATATTACTATACTACTACTTTGCTTATAGTAATAACATCACATCCATACCACTAGTACCGTATCACTAACACTGCAACTTCAATATTGAAAGCTATTATTACAGCAATAATGCTAACACAACCATAAATAGTTAAACAACTGATATTATTATTTGAAATAGTAATATAAAGGGCACTACGATTTCATCATCTACACTACTACAGTTCAGTTCTAACACAACAAATATACTAATTACATTACTACTATAATAAAACGCTGTTATCTTAATACTTACACTACATACACACGACTAATTACTCTTATTTAAATGGCATGTTATTTTGTATTACCCTTGCCATCTATTTTAAACAAGTAATAATCTTTTTCCATTTCATGTGTTCATACATCTATTCTGTATATACTGCTAGTCATTTCCTATCCTATAAATCTTTTTACCAATGAAGAGCTGCGCTCTACACGAACTCTCCGACCGAAAGGTTCTGTTGTAGTGTTTATAAATACTTATATACTACTGAACTAATCCCAAACTACTAACACAAGTCTACATATATAGTTACTCCACAGATATAGTAACTCCACTGATATAGTTACTCCACAGATATAGTTACTCCACTGATATAGTAACTCCAATGATATAGTTACTCCACTGATATAGTTACTCCACAGATATAGTAACTCCACAGATGTAGTTACTCCACAGATATAGTAACTCCACTGATATAGTTACTCCACTGATATAGTTACTCCACAGATATAGTAACTCCACTGATATAGTTACTCCACAGATATAGTAACTCCACTGATATAGTTACTCCACTGATATAGTTACTCCACAGATATAGTAACTCCACAGATGTAGTTACTCCACAGATATAGTAACTCCACTGATATAGTTACTCCACTGATATAGTTACTCCACAGATATAGTTACTCCACTGATATAGTTACTCCACTGATATAGTTACTCCACTGATATAGTTACTCCACTGATAAAGTAACTCCACTGATATAGTTACTCCACAGATATAGTTACTCCACGGATATAGTTACTCCACTGATATAATTACTACACAGATATAGTTACTACACAGATATAGTTACTCCACTGATATAGTTACTCCACTGATATAGTTACTCCACTGATATAGTTATTCCACAGATAAAGTAACTCCACTGATATAGTTTCTCCACATATATAGTTACTCCACTGATGTAGTTACTACACAGATATAGTTACTCCACTGATATAGTTACTTCACTGATATAGTTACTCCACTGATATAATTACTACACAGATATAGTTACTACACAGATATAGTAACTCCACTGATATAGTTAATCCACAGATAAAGTTACTCCACTGATATAGTTACTCCGCTGATATAGTTACTCCACTGATATAATTACTCCACTGATATAGTTACTCCACCGATATAGTTATTCCACAGATAAAGTAACTCCACTGGTATAGTTACTCCACAGA